GTTGCATGAAACAGCCAATCAACATGCCAGTAACACATCATGTGATCACATCGAATGACATCACTTCAGATGACTGATTGCACCGGATCACTGGAAAACAAAAGAAAACAGAAGATGGTTTATTGCTTGGTTAAATATTGTATTGTGTATCAAAAAATGGCTGTCTAGTAGAATTACAATGTGTTGCGCGCAACTTTATTTTTGACTGGCTTTGTGTAACTGTCAAGTTGCATAAAAGTTGCAGGCACAACATGCAACTAGTTGCCCAAAAGTTTCATCAGCCTAAGAGTCTCTGTCAGTCTCAGATTTAAAGGTTTCACTGTCTTGCTTGGACACCCAGATTCCTCACTGACTGTAACAGCGCTCTGGTTGAATTTCCTACCAAAAATCTGGTCATTTTAGGTCATTAAACCCGACAAGATTCTTAGAAAACCATCCAGCTGGTGATTCACTGATGTTCTGATGAATCATCTCCCTCAGAAATGCAAACAGCAGCTGGTCACAAATTGTTCGCATGTGGTCCCTGAAGTCGCTCAGAGAAAAGCAGAAAAAACAAGAAGCAAAAATAAAAAGCCCAAATCAGAAACACGACACTAATTTAAAATGTGTTTTTTTTGCTTTTTCGTGACTTCTGAAGCTGGATGTTTACATGCTGAACAGCTCAGGAGAACAGGAGCTCTAGTGTTTCGCACGGTCACCCTGTATGTAAACATTGTCTATTTTAAAAACAGACCCTGTGGCCTCACATTGAGGCCCTGGAGGAACACAGTCCGTTTTCAGCCAAGAAATAATCCTTTCAGACATGATTGATCTGCAGAATACCTTCAAAAAGTTTTCACGTCTTGAATTATTGTGTAACTACAATTTACAGGATCCGCTTGAGAGCTCTTGCTGCACCCATGAAAGAGAAGACGGGTGCTAGATACTAAAAACAGACTTGTACTAGTTCTTACTGGATGTTTTCCAGGAGGTTGAACCCTGGAGTTAAGAACATGCGCTATGCTAAGCCGCCACTAGATGATGCCAGTTATTTACACAAGCAGCTCTGGACCACAGCATTCTGGGTGTTTACCTGGTTCATCATAAACCTCGTGTGTTTACTCTCGTTTTTATTTTACTCCGGCTTTCAGTAGATCTGCATGCACTTTATTTAAAGTTCACTCTTTAAAAAGTTCTTTAGCTCTTAAAGACAGTAGTTCTCAAAGAACCATTTGCATGCTTAAACAGTTCTTTGCATGGTGAAATGGTTCTTTGCAGCACTAAAGTGATGGTTTCAAGCTTGTAACAATAGCAGAACCATTTTTGTGCTATATAGAATCAAAAATGTTCAATACAGAACCATATACAGCACATTCTCCATCAATCTGAAGAACCATTTCAACAGTGAAGAACCATTTAATCATGAAAATGGTTTTTTGAGTGTTCATGGTTCTGTATAGAACCATTGTCTTTATTAAAGAACCCTTGAAAAGCCATCTTATTTAAGAGTGTGCAGGCTTGACAAAGATCATATAGAACCATATGCAGCACATTCTCTATCAATCTGAAGAACCATTTCACCACGCAAAGAACCATTTAATCGTGAGTGTTTATGGTTCTATATAGAACCACTGTCTTTACTAAAGAACCCTCAAAGAACCATCTTTTTTAAGAGTGTCCAGTATAATCTCACTGGAGAACAAAGAAAAGATAATTGGTTTCTTACAGCATCACCAGCATGAAAGAGATGGAGTCGAGTATTACACGACTGAGGCCAGAGGATTCACTGCAGACATGTACTGGGTTCTCCAACTGATTTAAATTTGACATCCAGCTTATCTAGAACATAAAGACCTAAACTGGAGTGCCCTTCTCCAAACTTCTCCATTCTTCTCTGCTGTGCAGACATGGATGGCATCAGCATTCAGCTCATTCTTCAGTAGAACTCATCTGCACACTTAAAAGATGGTTCTTAAACGGTTCTTTAGTGTAAAAATGGATCTATACATAGAACCATGAACACTCAAAGAACCATTTGCATGATTAAAGAGTTCATTGCATCATGAAATGGCACTTCAGACTGATGGAGAATATACTGTATACTCACTAATCTGATCATATTCAGATTTCTGCAGTTATCTGATTATTCAAATGGTCATATAAACAGCACACTCTGATTTCTTAGATCGGAGTAAAGTCTAGAAATCTGATTAAGAAATCTGATAAAGAGGCTGGATTTGAGCTCAGTAATCTGATTTCTTTCGGATTTCTCAGTCTGAGCATGTGCGGAAACAGACTGCGGTACCAGAAGTGAGCGAGCAGCATCGCCGCGAGATGCAGCAAAACACTTGAAACCAAATACATGCTTGATGAAATGAAGGATTTAAATATTGTTCATCTTCCAGATGAAGTATGTTCGTATTTTCAGGTAAAGCGGAGCGATGTTTTAAAAAAGCCGCAGTATGAAGTTTGAGTTTTACATTACGTTTACGTCGCGTCTTCTTCTGTGACTTTATTGGCTGGTTGCAAAGCAGAAATCTGATTACTGTCTGACTCACGTAGACCCGGAGTTTCCCATTATCTGATTACCCAAGTGCATGTAAATGTGTTCATCGGATTACTGACACAATCTGATTTTCTGCAGTTATCAGATTATTAAGTACATGTAAACGCACTCATTAAGCATCTATAAGAGGTTATAATGTCATTTATGACGTGTTATATACATTACATAGTGTTACAAAAGTGCATTACACATTATTATGTTTATTATGTATATAAATTGTTAGAAATAAACCAGCCTGTTTATAAACTCATGCTCAGTCATGCTGCTATTTCTTTCAACAATTTACAGATTATTCCAGCATCTGTGTGTTTATGGTGAAGATCTTAAGATCGCATACTAAGCACATTTTTGCCTGCAGGTTGAAAAGCTATAGAGCAGAAATCAGAGGATATGACAGATCAGAGCATTCGGGAAAGGAACCACAAGGGGGCACTGATGACCTCCCAAGGCAGCCCTGATGAAGACTCTAGGACACGGCTGCTCAATCCTGGTCCTGGATATCTACCACCTTTGAGGATTCAGATCCAACACACCTGGCTCTGATAGTCAGATGACTTCATTACCTGGATCAGGTGTGTTAGATTAGGCTCGGGGCTAAACTCTACAGGGGGGTAGATCTCCAGGACCAGGATTGATCACCCCTGCTCTAGGAAGTAGTGACGGCAAGATGATAGCTTTCTTAATCAATGAAGCTTCCTTTAAACTCATATTGGAAAAGTGTTCATTACTCAAAGCGTTTAAAAGCACATTAATGACACCAGCAACTGTCAGGATACAAGTCCAAATCTTTATCTTGTAGTGAATTAAAAGCATGTAGTTCCTCTCTAAAGCAACAAAGGTAACGAGTAACATAAAAAAGGGCCGTACTAAAAAATCGGAACAAATCCGTGGGCTCAGCAGCTTCGCGCTGGGTAGAGGAGGGATAGAAAGAGAGAAGGAGTTTATTAAGAGCAGGAGGGGTAAATCAGAGATGCAGAAGCCTGAGGTCAGAAAATGAGCACATGCCATCCAGCATGGCATGGCTCTCCACACCTGTAACAGCTGTTAAGATTTCCTTGAGGTCATATGATCTGGCCTGGGTGGTTTTCTGTCAGTTTTCGGCCAGGATATTGGGTCAATGGCACAGAGACTAGATGAGAAAAGCCCAGCTGACTGGAGTCTGCCGGTGGTTGGACTGAGAAACGCTGACCTCATGTGTAACTTATTTTTATATTACAGCAAAACTATGCAGGATTTGAGGATCTGGAGACCCCTCTGGTGGAAATGTCTAATTGCACGTGTGGAAGAAGTTTGTGTGTGACGTTAATACGTAAAGACGTACGACGTGGGGTGAAAAACGACGCCTCTGACTTTAAATGATTATTTCAGGCTCTACAGGGCGACTCACAGCAGCTCACACTCACTGTATTTTAGCCAGTGTGAAGGCTGGGTGAGCGGGCGTGGTTATTCGGTGTAAGTGTGAAGGCTGGGTGAGTGGGCGTGGTTATTCGGTGTAAGTGTGAAGGCTGGGTGAGTGGGCGTGGTTATTCGGTGTAAGTGTGAAGGCTGGGTGAGTGGGCGTGGTTATTCGGTGTAAGTGTGAAGGCTGGGTGAGTGGGCGTGGTTATTCAGTGTAAGTGTGAAGGCTGGGTGAGTGGGCGTGGTTATTCGGTGTAAGTGTGAAGGCTGGGTGAGTGGGCGTGGTTATTCAGTGTAAGTGTGAAGGCTGGGTGAGTGGGCGTGGTTATTCGGTGAAAGTGTGAAGGCTGGGTGAGTGGGCGTGGTTATTCTGTGTAAGTATGAAGGCTGGGTGAGTGGGCGTGGTTATTCAGTGTAAGTGTGAAGGCTGGGTGAGTGGGCGTGTTTATTCGGTGTAAGTATGAAGGCTGGGTGAGTGGGCGTGGTTATTCGGTGTAAGTATGAAGGCTGGGTGAGTGGGCGTGGTTATTCAGTGTAAGTGTGAAGGCTGGGTGAGTGGGCGTGGTTATTCAGTGTAAGTATGAAGGCTGGGTGAGTGGGCGTGGTTATTCAGTGTAAGTGTGAAGGCTGGGTGAGTGGGCGTGGTTATTCAGTGTAAGTATGAAGGCTGGGTGAGTGGGCGTGGTTATTCGGTGTAAGTATGAAGGCTGGGTGAGTGGGCGTGGTTATTCAGTGTAAGTATGAAGGCTGGGTGAGTGGGCGTGGTTATTCGGTGTAAGTATGAAGGCTGGGTGAGTGGGCGTGGTTATTCAGTGTAAGTGTGAAGGCTGGGTGAGTGGGCGTGGTTATTCAGTGTAAGTGTGAAGGCTGGGTGAGTGGGCGTGGTTATTCAGTGAAAGTAAACTTAAAAACAAAAGTCTAAAAACACACAATTACAATTCTTCATGATTTGCTTTCTTTTAATAAACAGGGCTTATAAAGGACATGAAGTCCGTAACTACAGGACATTGAATGCTGCTTTATTATTAACTGTTTTTACTCGATTATGATTTATGTTTCATTTCTTGATAAATTCCTCGGAGGTGGAGGAGGAGGAAACCACTTTGCCATCCACAACCTCCTCCACCACGGTGATGACCTTGGTCCTGGAGGTGGAAGTGGAGGTTTTGATGCTGTGGAGAAAGAATGAAACAGAGATTAAAAACATTCTCATGCTGCGTCTCTAAATATGATCCACAGTTTTGATACGAGAACATTTGGGCACTCACGTGCTGGTCTCTCCGTCCAGCAGTCTCCTGTACTCGGCGATCTCCAGCTCCAGTCTGGTCTTGATGTCCAGAAGCAGCTGGTACTCGCGACCCTGGCGCTCCAGATCAGCGCGGAGCTGCGCCAGCTGCTCCTCTAGACTCGTTACCTAAAAGCAACAGAAGATAATCTTCTAAGCTTGACTGAGAAGCGCTTGTGCTCCGCAGCTGTAGAAATCTGAAGTGATATTAACAGCACTGCAGTCGCCTCTGTGTGGATCTCACCTGCATTTGGTAGCCAGACAACTTCATGGAGTAACGTGACTGAGTCTCGACCATAGTGCTCTCCAAGGAGGATTTCTGTGGTGAGGAGGGAACACAGTGAGGACAAACAGGACATTTTAAAAGAAGACGATGGATTAATCAGTTTCAGAGGAGAACCCTCAGGGCCTTCTAGGTCTAATGTCTGTATTTTTAGTCATACAGGGTGATTCAAAAAGATTGATCTGATTTCAAACTGATTGATTTCACTTGTAAATCATTACAGATCAATGCAGTGAACTGTAAATGGTTTAAATGAGCATAAAGTTTATTATGTAATTTTACAAGGTCTCAGTCTGAACCTCCTCCAGCTGTACAGACAACATCAACACCATAGTCAAACTCATCCCATACTGGATTGAGCGTGTCGGGTGTCGCTGCACTCACGGCTCTTTCAGTGCGATTTCGGAGATCATCCAGTGTTGTGGAACCAACGCCGAACGCTCTGAGCTGTTGGAGCTTCACTGACCACGAAAATCACCCTGCACAGTTATGACGGATTCAGTCTTATTGAAGTGGAGAACGCAGAACGCTTTCTGCTCAGGGGTCTCATCTCCTCTCAGACTGAAGGGAGCCAGTCAGAAACTCTATGACCCCCTCTTTCAATTGGATTGTGATTGGTTCACTGTAAGCTGTTTTTTTTTACATTTAAACTCTGCATGTATTGTAGTGCTGTTATTTCATGGTTATGTTTTGGCTAAAAGTCAAAGGGCTAAGATTTTGAAACACCCAACAGAAAATTGGCCTGTTTTTTCTGTGGTATCTACAAAGATACAGCTGAGCTGCTCTCCCATTTATTACGTTAGATTAACTACCAACATAACTAGGGTGTGACAGAGAAATCAACGAATCATGCTTTGGGTGGAACCAAATTTAAGAGAAAAAACATCTCTAGTCCTTCTGGAGGTTCTTGATATGCCACTGACTGTGAATATGAGTTGTAGTCTAGTCAGGTTCTGGTTAGTTGTTATGAATGTAAAACAGCGGCAGCAGCTCTGTGTCAGAACTCTTTACTGAAGGAGTCACTGTAACACTGATTCATACAAGCTCATTAGTTCTTGTGCGTCAGTGTTAGCTTAGAACTAACATACTTTTGACCATGTTTTGATATTTATGGCCCAACTGAAGGCCCAGTTGTAATAGTCACAGTTCACCACTGTTCCTTTTGCACTTGGCGAACAGGTAACAGGTTTCTGAAGCTGAAGTTGGTAGAAGATCTCTTGGTTTGATTATCCTTCTAACACATTTTGTTATGGTGGTATAAACCCACACCTGATCCTGTCTTGATGTTAAATCCTCCCCTGAAACACATCTATCCCAGAACAGACTCCCATCACTCACCAACGCCAGGAGAGACTGTAGTTCGATTTGCAGAGACTGCAGTGTGGATCTGAAGGTGTTGATCTCAGAGCGAGACGTCTGCAGGGTCGCAGTGCTTGTGACCATCTGTTGTTTCAGAGTCTCAGTCTGTGAAGAAGAAACACAGAGAAAGTCAACAGCTCAGACTTGAAGCGTCATTAAAGTTCAGGAAAGGCCAGTTTTGGGTCAGCAGTGAAAAACCCACCTTTGTCTTGAACCAGCTCTCAACTTCCCTGTGGTTCTTAGCAACAACGGACTCATAGTGTTCTCGCATTTCAGCCAAGACTTTGGTCAGGTCTTGCTGAGGTGCGGCGTCCACCTCCACGTGAACCTGTCCGCTCATCTGCTGGCGCATGGCTAAGAGATCCTTATAGAAACAACACAGATAAGTGTGATTATGTGATCTGTCTTCATCCAGCCTGTCTAAAGCTGGGTTACGCTACATGAAAGTTGATTATCAACAGCATGAAGGTTAGGGCTATTAAGGTTCAGGACTAGGTGTAGGTTTTGCCTTGAATGATTTTTAATATTATTGTCTTATTTTCATTATTTTAGTTATTTTATTTTTTCCCATTTATTTTTTTGTTTATTATCATTATTCAAATTCTTGTTCTTATTGTTTTAATTAAGATTTTTTATTATTATTTCAGTCATTTTAATTATTTTTATTTCCTTTTTTGATCTTATCCTCATTTTGTTTTATTTATCTTCTTTTGATTTTATTAAATTTTTACATTGTAATTACACTTTAGTTATATTGTTTTATATTTTTTACTGATTTTAGTGATTTTTACTATTAAATTGACTTTGATTATTTAATATGCTCTTACACATTATCAATCCTTTTTTCCTGTACCAACTCAGCAACATTGTAAATGAGGGTGACCTTCAATGTTCTCTGAGGTTAAATAAAGGTTGATTGATTGATTGATTGATTTTTTCGACCTGACTCTGAGTGTAATCTAGTGTAAACTGGACAATGACTCAAACTAAATGGACTCTTCCAACAGCCAATGAAAACTGAGCGTGAGAAAGAAGATAATATGGTAAGTAAACAAAGAAAAATGGTGAAAAGTCTCTTGTGTGGAGCGAAGCTTTTTAGTTTAAAGCACAATCAAGTTTATGTGCATTTAAAACTTTAAAAAATACCAACTGATCACATTTAATTAAATTAAATCAATTAAATCCATGAGCCTCAATTAAACATGTTTACCTGCTGCTTCTTTACTGTATCATTGCAAATGGCAGAGAAAACAGCAGCAGCTGTTTGTTTATTTGCGTCTCCTATTAACGTGAGAACACATGAGTTTGCGTGAGTTCAGTTCGGTTCAGCAACAGCTTAAAAGTAGACTAGTGTGTGATCCAAAGTCGTTTAGGATGTGATCCCCAATATTTCAGTCGCTCCAGTGTGATAGTCAGAGTCTATATAATCTGTTGAGACTTTGAAAGGCGTGTAGTGAAGCCAAAGCTAAACCAGACTGTCAATATGATTTTTGTGCACTCTGTACTAATATCTAGCACATCAACCAAGCAAAGTGGTGGTGGTACTGTACCTCCTCATGGTTCTTCTTGAGGAAGACCAGCTCCTCCTTCAGTCCCTCAATCTGCATAGATAGATCTTTTTTGGTCAGCTTGAGCTCATCCAGCACTCTTCTCAGCCCAGCGATATCGGCCTCCGCAGACTGACGCATGGCCAGCTCCATCTCATACCTCAATAAGACATATTAGCATGTTATCCTCACAGCAAAGAAGAGAACTTGACTTGTAAAGAAAAGAAAACATGCAGTTTTTCGGAGAATGGCGAGACTCACTTCGTTCTGAAGTCGTCCATGGCAAGCCGTGCATTTTCAATGTTGAGATAGACTCCGCCCTTCAGATGGATGGCCACCTGGATCTAAACGCATAAGAAATGGTGTTTTCAACAAAAATACCATGAAGTACATTGACAACGTTCAAGTGTTCAGTGCTACATTCTTAATAAAGATGGTTCTTCAAGGGTTCTTTGATAAAGACAATGGTTCTGTATCAGACACATGAACACTCAAAGAGCCATTTGCATGAATAAATGGTTGGCATGGTGAAGTGGCTCTTCAGATTGATGGAGAATGTGTTCTATATGGTTCTACATGGAATCTTTTTTGAAAATGGTTCAATATAGCACCAAAAAAGGGTTTTTCTATTGTTACAAGCTTGACATTGTAACAATAGCAGAACACTTTTGGGTTCCATATAGAACCATATACAACACATTCTCCATTAATCTGAAAAAACATTTCACCATGCAGAGAACGTTTTAATCATGCAGAGGGTTCTTTGAGCGTTCATGGTTCTATATAAAACCACAGATTTTTGAAGTATCATCTTTTTTAACAGTGTTCGATCAACCAACATTTATTTTGATTCATGAACAAAAACAATTTACAAAGAAAATAAAACAAATAAAAGCTCAAGTAAGAAATGGAAATAAAACAGCAATAAAATATGTAACGAAAACATTCTCCATCAATCTGAGGAACAATGTCACCATGCAAAGAACTGTTTAAGCATGCAAATGGTTCTTTGAGTGTTCATGGTTCCATGTATGTAATTGTCTTTACTAAAGAACCTTTGAAGAACCATCTTTTTAAGAGTGTACCCTATATGATCTTTTACCTTGGCCTGGAGGTCACTGATGGTGACCTGGTGGGTGCGGTAGTCGTGAGCAATTGGGGAGGCCTTGCTCTCCAAGAACCTGCGGATCTTCAGCTCCAGCTCAGCGTTAACCTTCTCCAGGGAGCGCACCTTCTCCAGGTAGGTGGCCAGACGGTCGTTGAGGTTCTGCATGGTGAACTTCTCATTGCCAATGAACGCTGAGTCTAGAGCCCCAAAGCCAAAGCTTCCTATGGCACTCCCAGCGGAAGCGGTGGAGATGCGAACCCCAGAGCTTCCGGCTCCTCCATACATACTGCTGGCCCGTGCGGTCACTACAGACCCTCTGGTGGAGGTGGAGATCTGTGTGGATTTGCTAGAACTTCCAAAGAGGGATCCTCCAGAAGAAACATAGCTGCGGCTGGAGTAAGAGGAGGCCATGATGCTGCTGTCTTGCTGAAGGTTTGTCTGTCTGACGATGGAAGCAGGGAGTGAAGACAGGAGCACCGCTGGCTCTTTTATAGTCTGGATGAGGCACTGAGGCAAGGCTAACTCAAATGCCATCCGAGATGTTCTTACAAACAATTACCAGTTACTGTCATCAGTTATTGAAGCCACATTCTTCAGATGCTGATGTCCACGCCCAGTAAACACGGGTGCCTTTCACGCTGTATGAAGAAAAACAGAGGTTTTTAAAGCAGTCGTGATAAAGCATGGGTGTTTTTTAATGCCAGTTTTTGGAATGTAGTCATACATACATTTTTGGAATGTTTGGCCTCCTGATTGGGTTTTAGATCAGTCAGAGTTTATCAAACATGTTTGGGTCACACTTTATCTGGATGGTCCCCTATAGATGATCTACAGATACTTAAATAACTAACAAACTTTCTGGTGATGCTCAGTTGATTATCAACAACATTAAGGTTAGGGTTAGGTTTAGGATTAGGAATAGATTTAAGAGAATCCTAAACACAGTCACTGCCAAAGGTTAGAAGGTCAATAAACTAAAGGACAGCATTGTGTTGATGCAATATAGTCCAGTCCAGTCAAAGTTTATTTATATAGCGCTTTTTACGACAGATGTTGTCCCAAAGCAGCTTTACAGAAAAACCCGGGTCTGAGCCCCCGTGCATGCCACCAGTGGTGACAGTGGCAGGAAAAACTCTCTAAGAGCAAGAGGAAGAAACACTGAGAGGAACCAAGACTCAAAAGGGGAACCCACCCTCCTCTGGTCGACACCGGATAGCAAACAGTAACATGAGCAAAATGAACAGAGGATAAGATTTTAACATTAATAGAAAATATGAAAACACAGGAATGGGGAAAAACAGGTGAAGCAATGGCTCTGATTAAGTAGTTTGAGTCTGTGCAGCAGCAGCATCATCAGGAGACTCAGTTCATTTAGGTGAGGTTTGCACAGCGGTGTACAGCGAGAAGCTCCATGGTGGTCAAACTGGTCCAGAAGGCTGGCGTGCAGTGGGATATAGTGTATTCATAATGTGCAAAAAAAGAAAAAGATCAGGTAGTTCATCAGGAGGATCAGTTCATGAGGTCTTATTGCTTTCTTTCAGTGCTCTAAGGACTAATTTGTAGACTAATTATTCCAGGTGAGCCTGTCTGCTTTCTTATGTCCTTCACACTGAAATGACACGGTTAGTAATATCTTAATCACAGCACTCAGAGCAGGTGTGGTCTGAGTCACTGAGGTGTGATTTAATTGCCCTGCAGTGTTTATGCTGTGATTTTTTAACCGTAATCCACCGTTCCCTCTCACTGAGCTCCCGCCTTCGTTAGGATGTGTGCACTGAAACTGGCTTAATGGAGTTATTCAAATTAAAAAAATGACACTGACTCAAAGAATCATTCGTTTAAATTATTTATTTAAGTTGAATGAAACTAGTTAATTTACTTGTTACCACATTAAGTAATTTTTTAGGTTGATTTGTCGAGATGCTTTTTACAGTGCAGAGTGGAAGATACAGAGGCTGATGAAGTGTTTAACACATTATTTTAGATTATTTTTTAAGTTAAAAACAATATTTGGCTGCTTTGCGGCTCACAACTGGCCTCTAACTGTGCACAGACTTTCTCTCTTCGAACTTCAACCTGTGTGTGTTTGAGGATGCGCCCAGCAGTTTTGGGTTCACTGTAATGAAAATACGCTGTTCACTTAACACTTAACGTACAGAGATTTTATTCTAAGCAATTTTGGAGCATTTCTATTGGTCCATTCAGCATGAAGTGTCGACAAATGTCCAGGACACCTGAACTCAAATGCAGAAAAAACAAAATCTCAAAAAATGTGATTTTTTTTTTGTACAGCAACAGTTTATTTCTATAATAATAATAATAACAGCAACAATAATTATATTAATAGTAATAATAGTAATAGGTGTTATTCTTACAGCACCTTTCTTATGCTGGAGAACACTAGTCTGAGACAGAGAACCTACGAGTGTCAGAAAGCTGCACCTCTGCAGTCAGATAAAAAATTCCAGAAGTGAACATGCCAAAACATTTGCATGCAGCGAAAGTAATAACACCTCACGCCCTGCTCTCTGACCTTCGCTCACTCCTGTGGCGAACAGCAGCTTCCGAAGAACTGATCTCCACATATTCCACATTGTTCTCGCAGAACTATTCGGAGCATGAGGCAGGTACTGTGTGGAGCCTGAAACAGAGCAGGCCAGCTCTACCAGAGCGGCACTCGGTGCAGATTAAAGCAGATGTAGTTGATCAGCCAGGACATGCTCAGCGTCTGAAGTGTGTTTCTTTAGTTTGAGCACCAGGATTTCAAGGATAATTATTATAACAGTCTTGATTCTGTGGTTTCTGACTCTGTGTGACTCACTGTTATCTGTAAACATGGACTACAGTACATTAGCATAGCTAAACACAGCAGCAGCCACATAAACCACATAATCAAGTCTAATAGAGACACTGAACACCTCCACACAGTTTTAGAGGGTTTTTGATGATTCAGGCTGGCAGGTAGCTCGGTGCTAACATACTGTACATAAGTGTGTTTTACTTGTGAGACATCTTAGCTTCTCAGCCTGAGGACAAAAACTAAAGAAGCAAACTTCAGGCACCAAGCATGATTTAAGAGTTCTTTGCATTTATGTTCATGGAGAATGTCAAGTCAGGTCAAGAGGCTTTTACTGTCATTCCATGTACAACTACACAGTGGAGTGAAATAACGTTCCTCCAGGAACAACACGGTGCAACAAGGAACAAAATGGGACAAAGTGTGAACGCAGACGTGAGTGTGCAAACAAAAAATTAAACTAGAAACAATACAATAAATACGATAAATTAAACAGACGTTAGACACAGTAAACAGACAGGACAGTGCAGCACCACAGCACTCATTTCTGAGCGTGAGGTAGGGGTGTGGAATAGGGTGCAGAGATATTTAACACGCTGTGATCTGTGAGTTACGCAGTCAGATTAGAACATAAACACAGCAGTTACTGAGGTAGTACTAGAGTAAACAGTGAAAACACTGTATTAACAGCAATGTTCCAGATGTGCAAGTAGAGCATCAAAAGGGCTGTGTGTGTGTGTAGAGTTGTGTGTGTGTGTGAGTGTAGAGTTGAGTGTGTGTGTGTGTAGAGTTGTGTGTGTGTGTGAGTGTAGAGTTGTGTGTGTGTGTGAGTGTAGAGTTGTGTGTGTGTGAGTGTAGAGTTGAGTGTGTGTGTGAGTGTAGAGTTGTGTGAGTGTAGAGTTGAGTGTGTGTGTGTGAGTGTAGAGTTGAGTGTGTGTGAGTGTAGAGTTGAGTGTGTGTGTGTGAGTGTAGAGTTGAGTGTGTGTGAGTGTAGAGTTGTGTGAGTGTAGAGTTGAGTGTGTGTGTGTGAGTGTAGAGTTGAGTGTGTGTGAGTGTAGAGTTGAGTGTGTGTGTGTGAGTGTAGAGTTGAGTGTGTGTGAGTGTAGAGTTGAGTGTGTGTGTGAGTGTAGAGTTGAGTGTGTGTGAGTGTAGAGTTGAGTGTGTGTGTGAGTGTAGAGTTGAGTGTGTGTGTGTAGAGTTGTGTGTGTGTGAGTGTAGAGTTGAGTGTGTGTGTGTGTAGAGTTGTGTGTGTGTGTAGAGTTGAGTGTGTGTGTGAGTGTGAGTTGTGTGTGTGTGTTAGTGTAGAGTTGTGTGTGTGTGTGAGTGTAGAGTTGAGTGTGTGTGTGTGTGTAGAGTTGAGTGTGTGAGTGTGAGTTGTGTGTGTGTGTGTGTAGAGTTGTGTGTGTGTATTAGTGTAGAGTTGTGTGTGTGTGTTAGTGTAGAGTTGAGTGTGTGTGTGTGTAGAGTTGTGTGTGTGTGTGAGTGTGAGTTGTGTGTGTGTGTGTAGAGTTGAGTGTGTGTGTAGAGTTGAGTGTGTGTGTGAGTGTGAGTGTGAGTTGTGTGTGTGTGTTAGTGTAGAGTTGTGTGTGTGTGTTAGTGTAGAGTTGTGTGTGTGTGAGTGTAGAGTTCTGTGTGTGTGTGAGTTGTGTGTGTGTGTGTGAGTTGTGTGTGTGTGAGTGTGAGTTGTGTGTGTGCGTGTGAGTGTAGAGTTGAGTGTGTGTGTGTGTGAGTGTAGAGTTGAGTGTGTGTGCGTGCGTGTGAGTGTAGAGTTGAGTGTGTGTGTGTGCGTGTGAGTGTAGAGTTGAGTGTGTGTGTGTGAGTGTAGAGTTGAGTGTGTGTGTGTGTGCGTGTGAGTGTAGAGTTGAGTGTGTGTGTGTGTGTGTGAGTGTAGAGTTGAGTGTGTGTGTGTGTAGAGTTGAGTGTGTGTGTGAGTGTAGAGTTGAGTGTGTGTGTGTAGAGTTGTGTGTGTGTGTGTAGAGTTGAGTGTGTGTGTGTGTAGAGTTGTGTGTGTGTGTAGAGTTGAGTGTGTGTGTGAGTGTGAGTTGTGTGTGTGTGTTAGTGTAGAGTTGTGTGTGTGTGTGAGTGTAGAGTTGAGTGTGTGTGTGTGTGTAGAGTTGAGTGTGTGAGTGTGAGTTGTGTGTGTGTGTGTGTAGAGTTGTGTGTGTGTATTAGTGTAGAGTTGTGTGTGTGTGTTAGTGTAGAGTTGAGTGTGTGTGTGTGTAGAGTTGTGTGTGTGTGTGAGTGTGAGTTGTGTGTGTGTGTGTAGAGTTGAGTGTGTGTGTAGAGTTGAGTGTGTGTGTGAGTGTGAGTGTGAGTTGTGTGTGTGTGTTAGTGTAGAGTTGTGTGTGTGTGTTAGTGTAGAGTTGTGTGTGTGTGTGAGTGTAGAGTTCTGTGTGTGTGTGAGTTGTGTGTGTGTGTGTGAGTTGTGTGTGTGTGAGTGTGAGTTGTGTGTGTGCGTGTGAGTGTAGAGTTGAGTGTGTGTGTGTGTGAGTGTAGAGTTGAGTGTGTGTGTGTGCGTGTGAGTGTAGAGTTGAGTGTGTGTGTGTGCGTGTGAGTGTAGAGTTGAGTGTGTGTGTGTGTGTGTGTGTGAGTGTAGAGTTGAGTGTGTGTGTGTGTGCGTGTGAGTGTAGAGTTGAGTGTGTGTGTGTGTGTGTGAGTGTAGAGTTGAGTGTGTGTGTGTGTGTGTGTGAGTGTAGAGTTGAGTGTGTGAGTGTAGAGTTGTGTGTGTGTGTGTGAGTGTAGAGTTGAGAGT